ATGTAATGTTTATATATTAAATATATTTATATATAATATAAATTATATGAATATAAATATATACATGTAAATATTTTCAAAATATATACTGTATGTGTGTGTCTTTATATATACATAATACATATACACAGTAGACACACATATATTGAGTAAACAAAAACTTTTATTTTGGATGCGATTAATCGTTTGACAGCACAATTTTTAATAAATCAGAAAAAAATCACCACTGATTATGATTGGAAAAGAGCAGCATTAAAGCTTCCATAATGTTAACTTCCTTTGTGTTCCAAAGGACATAAATTCTAGTCATTTATTGTCAACTGGAGCACTTCAAATACTGGAGCAATTCTTTCTAAAAGCACTTTTTAAAATGACCTAAAGAGTATCATGTGAACAAGATTGAATACCAGATTACTTACATTAAGAATAATGTAGCAGTCACCTTCAAAAAGATTTCCATATGCTTGCTCTGGGACAGGGACCATTTTCATTTTCTGAAGAAGCATAAAACAGAATAATACATTAATATAATATAACATATTATAATATATATATATTGTATATTTGCCTAATTGGAGAAAACAACAGTGATTTCTTACACTGATGGTCCAGATCTGCAGGCCAGGTTTTCGCTGGATGTTTTTTAACTCATCCTGGGCTTCCGTCATTCTGCTGTATTCTGAGAAGAAATCTCAACGCTCAAACTATCTGAATTAAAAACCATAACCACAGCATAATGCATCACAACTGACAATAAAACTTCAGGTATACTGAAGCACATTTTGACACTGAATCTAAATTTGACCTGAATTCACGCTTGCATTATAAATTATAATACAAAGAAATGATTTCTTTATATAGAAAAAACATTGGACTATAATGTAAATGTGTAAATGTGACACTTGTGAACACATATTCTATATAACATAATAAAAATGCTAAACATTATAATAACACGATGTATTTCACTACAGTTTCACATTTTAGTTTTTAATTAAACGTTGTGACAGATTTTTGCAAATGTGAAATATCAGTAAGGAATCTTGAGTACAAAAATGTGATTTTTTTTTTAAAGGTGCTTGCTTCATCACTGAGTGACAGAGAACAGATGGTTTATGAAAGGATGATGAAGAGAATATGTGCAAATTTAGCTTCCTCTAGAAAATCTGTACCACTAAACAGCGCTGGCCAGTACTATGGCTACAAATGGATTTCACTTTCAAGAATCTGCTCAGTAAACACAAAAACTACTTTGCAACAGAAATGTGCATCAAAACTCATTTAAAACAGGTCACTATTCACATTACAAATTATGTGGAAATATTTCGCAACTCTGGAGTCATACGATGGCCAAAATGTCTTTCAGATGTTTCATCATCCGTGTCCGGCAAACGACTTTGCTTCAGAATACATTTAAAATGCAGATTCAGACAAGCTGTGAATCTTATTAGGACAAATATCCTGCAAATAAGTAGCAAATAAGTAGCATAGTGCAAACAAACAACTACTACACATCAGCAACCAGTCCTCTCTCATAAAACTCAATGCTAACAGTGAAAAGAAACGCTGACCTTTCATAATCACAGCACCGCTGTTGCTAAGAAACTGGGGCGCGAGAATATTGACTGAAATCTAGTGTTGAGGGTGGAGCATGAACAATTTAGCAGGATGTAGAAGACGGCATCCAAAAAAAAAAATCTAGTAGCAAAAAATCTTCTAATATACTAACTCAAGAAGAAATATGGAATCAGAAAATGGTATATAGTGAGAAAATAGACTAACTAAAGCACAGCTGTGATCATACTGTATATATGATCCAGTCTCAATAGCATTCAATCTTTTGCATGATCGTGTTACATTAATAACATTCATGATTGCTCTCTGACAAACAGCTCATTACTAAAGAAAAAGCACCATCTACTGTACAAGCACTTCATATTTAATAGTTTTGTGTGCTTTCTGTCCTGAATGACTGGTTTTCTTGTCTATTGACAAAGCTTTTTAAACAATAGTCAGCACAGGCTTTTCCATAAATCCTAATCAATGACATGGATTAGTCTCATATTTCCCAGTGTGAGTTTAAAAATGCAGGATCTTTTGATTCGATGTGACCAATTCATACATTTCTGTTCCAAATAATATCTAATCTGGAATATAACCGAGTAAAATTTCCATCAACGAGTCATTAAGATGTGCTTGCACTGCAAAGAAGTCAATTATACATTAAGATATTGTAAACTGTTTTTTTTTTTTTGGTTATAAGAGTCAATTTTAAAAATGTTAAACTTTGAAACATACTGTATCATAATTATGATTATATAACATATCCTTCAAGGACTGCATATGTACGTGATAGTTTAAATAAGGTTTTTTCTTACCTGTATGCCTTGCACAGAGGTATTGTTCAGCGTAGTAATGTATTAATGAGTTATGAGGAATCTCTCTGAGTGGTTTCCTCTCCCTCTGTACATTGTTAATGTGTGCTGATCAGGGAAGGGCTTGTATCTGTCCAGCCCTACAGGTGAGAACACACCTTAATGCCCACACAAGACTTTATATGGACAAGAACAGGAGTTCCTTTTGACCTCTTACGTACATAACCCCACATAAATAAACCTTTAGAAACAAACCAACACAAAAGCCAATAACTGAAGGCTAAAACTATACATGTTTCTCTGTTGTGTAATTCCAAAATGATCATATCAGAAATTAAATCAATACAGTTAAGAATTTAGAATCTAGACTTTTATTTATTATTTTAGAAGAAGTGCCAAACAAAAGGAAATAATACTTTTATTTAGAAAGGATAAAGCATTGATTAAAAGTGACAGTAAAGACATTTATAATGTTAAAAGTTATATTTATTTATTATTATTTATAAAATTATTTACAGTTTTTTAACTTTCTATTCATCAAAGAATCCTGAAAAAAAAAATATATATTTGGCAGTACAATGATTTTCAACACTGATAACAATAATAATAATAATAATAATAATAATAATAATAATAATAATAAAATGTTTCTTAAACACCAAATCAGCACATCAGAATGATTTTTGAAGGGTTATGAGACACTCAAAACTGAAGTAGGCTAATGACTGCTGAAATTCAACTTTGCCATCACAGGAATACATTGCACTTTAAAATATATTTAAAATAGAAAACAGTTATTTTAAATTGTAATATTTCACAATATTACGGTTTTACTGTATTTTGATCAAACAAATGCAGCCTTGATAAGAATAAAAGACATATTTTAAAAAACATTAGGCTAATACATTTGACCAACCTCCAATTGTTTGAAACTGGTTGAGATCAGAAAAGGAGGTCTTATAATAATTCAGCTAAAACATTATATCGCAATACTCTTCCTCATGTTGCTTCAAACGTGTATGACTTTCCTCCATGTGTTTTACAGAATAACCTGGTCAGTGGCCACTCTTTTCAATACAATGTACAGTAGGGACTGTCCAGAATGACAAAAGAGGACGTAATTCACAAGTGACATTCACAAGGACTTCTATGATATATTCCGAGTCCTCTTAAGTTTTCCTCAGTAGTCGGATCTTTGCAATAAATCACTATATTCAGGACAGGTGTGAACGATTCAGCTGCAGCACTTAAAGCAGTTGTATGTTCGTTTTTTTTACCTTGAAATATCACTTCTAAAATCATTCTGATCGACATCTAATAAGGCAAATGGCTTCTGCTTCTTTCCCATACTTCCCCATATATCTCTTCTGGAAGTGTGTAAATTTGGTGAGCGGGTACGCAATTCCGCGAAAAGGGCGGATTGCTTTACGGCAGCAATTGGGACGGTGATAGATTTACGACAGTGAATTTCTCTCACTTAACTGTAGGGGGCTCCAAAGTCGAAAATACACAAAACTTCTTACAGTTGCTTTAACAGCTCACTGAAGGGGAAGATTATTCATAAATAATGAAATGCATGAGTCATATGGACTACTTTTATGGAGCTTTTTGCATGCTTATTGAAGCTTGAAAGCATCAGTCCACATTAACATGAAAAAAGCGACCATTACTGATATTTTCTAGACAGACAGATGTTTCACAGAAGAAAGAATGGCATATGTGTTTTCGAACAACATGAGAGTGAGTAAACACTAACTGATAGTTCATAATTAGGAATCTCCTTCACTATCACATATTCTCTCAGTTCTATAAAACAAGCTGGTTTGAAGTTGGTGGAGGTCAGAGACTCGTGAGTCTCTCTCCTGCTCTGGATTCCTCTCACATCGGCTCTGCGTCTCAGCTCTTTCACGCTCAGATCACAAGGAACGCTTCAGACGGGAACGCCACACAGACACTCAGCAGAGCCAGAGAGAGGAGACGGTGATTAATCTCTTTCACTCCAGCAGATGGGGAGAAAGAGCGAACGAATCCCCTGCGGGAGGCTCTTGGGCAGATATCGGAGGCTTCCTATGGCAAACGGCCCATCAGCCACTAACAAATAAAGAGAAGTGGCAAAATGGTGCTTCATTAAGGTTTAGAGGCTTCACCTTAATTGCAGGCCAGAATGCCATTCTGAGGGAGACAGAGAGGTGGGCGAACAAACTCTCAAAGTATTGTGTGTGCAGAAAAGCAGAACATTTCAAGAATAAAAGTGTAAAGGCATTTATAACAAGGAACAAAAACTTATTTTCTGAGTGATAACAGCAGTTTTACTGATTAACAAGATCTATACTGTATATCCACCTGTATGCCTATCCATCTAGTTTCTGTCTATATACATCTAAATGTCTGTCATCTTTAAATCTTTTCATCTGTTTGTCTGTCTATACGTCATATATCTATCTACTACTCTATCTACCTACCTATCTATATGTCTATCCATCTGTCTCTTTCTGTCTAACCTTTTATATCCACCCATTTATCCATCTACCTACCTATTTATACATCTACTGTATACATCTAACCCTGCACATACCTATCCATGTTTCTATCCATCCATCCATCTATCAGTATATCTACCTAGTCTATCCTAGTCTAGTCTAGTAGTCTATCTACCCACTACATATACCTACCTACATCTGTCTATCCATTCATCCATCTACTGAACTATATAGACATCTATTACTCTATCTACCTGTCTGTCTCTCCACCTCTCTATCCATCTACCTACCTACAATACGTCTACATATCTACAATTCTACCACATCTATCCATCTATGTCTGTCTATACCTCTATCCATCTATCTGTCCATCTATCCATTTGTCTCTTTCTATCTGTCTATAGATCCATCTTTAATCTATCATCTACTATAGGTTAAATATAATGAATATATCAGCATTAATTATAGATAATAATGAACTTAGAATTTACTTACAGTCATGTAATATACGGCTATATGTTTTTTTCATTTGAGTCAATGTGAGTTCTGAGGCATTTGAGTTCTAATGCGAAGAAACTCAATGACACTGGTTAGGGTAACAGGGCTTGGGCAAAACTAATTATGTTTGTCCCAATGTCATTTAGCGGCCGCCGGTTAGGTAATCAGTGTTTATGAAGCAACACGTGCCCAATGCAATATGTTGGTGGAACAATAAAGAATTAAATTTTCCTGCATTTATCACTGTATAATGTGCAACCTTTAGGATTTAAGTGTATTTTGCTTACTAACTGCATAAAACAGTGTGTACAGCACACATACAGACATGGGTGCACACTACACACACACACACACACACATGCATGACAATAGCAAAGCAAACAGATATGACTCATTTGAGCAACCCAACATGAGAGAGCTCATATTCAGCTGTTCCTTTCATTCACCGTCCCAGAGACGCCTTAGGCAAACATTTCTCGGACAGCACCCAAATTCAAAATGTAATTTTATACTCTCAAACACACAGGGCTGTTTTCATCTCCAAGAAGTAAAACACACAATGCATGAAGCTCAAGGTCATGTGATTCACAAAGGTTCCCAAGTACCATATTTGGATATCCTTAAGTTAATCATTGAGATCAGGAATTTCTGACAGCGCAAATACATTGTAAAATGTGTTGAATCACATTTTGGTCTGGTTCTATGCAAGTCAGAGAAATTATTTACATTAGGTTACACCAACAAAAGAGTCAGTACAGGTCAAGCTATTTTACTTTTCACTTTTACAGTATAAACTGAGACACAAAATGTTAAATATTTGTGAAATAATGCGAAAACCATCTTACCTTTCTCGAACTCTAAGGTGAACAGAATAATTGAATAATGTATAAATGCACAGCTGACCGCCACCACATATATTTCCATGGCTACAAAAAGAAAATACCTGCTTTTCCCCCAAGTTTTACCACCAGAAATGACTATTTACTGTCACAAGTGGCCTTTTGGTTGCTGCTCTGTAAGTGAACCGCTTAAAGTTCGTGGCAAATCATGCAGCAAACTAACCGAGCGCTCAGTTTGCTCATTAACTACATTTCACACAGCCCACATTTCTGTGCACTCCATTCTTCACACAAAATCTTGTTGAGGAAAACCGAGCATATTTAAATTCACTGTACTGTAAAGGTGGTGTACAATGGACTTATTCTGTGTAATCCACTCATGGCTTCCCAGCATCCCTTTGGAACTTAATCAAGTGCAATGCACACAAATAGACACAAACGTAAGCCATTCTTCATATTGATTGCATCTTTTATTTTAATAATGATGATTATTAATTTCAGATCCTGACGTATTGGATTGTTTATTAACTTTCACATTATATTGTATTATTAATTCAAATCACAGTTGGGTAATAGATGCAAACGTTTCTTTTGAACACAATGCTTATATGCTATATTTTCAAAGGCATACAAGAACCTAAGAAAATAACGGCATCATCTTTTGCCCGATAATATCATTCAGTCCAATGAAGACTTCTGACCGTCACTGAAAACTCTTCACGAATGTTAAAAGACTCAAACGTTCGCTCTTACAGTAAGTGTTTGCTTAAAGGTTTCGAATTGTAAATATGCAGCATACAAAAACTCATTTGTGTCCCCATAAAAACAAGTCAGAAGGCACTTGGTACGAGAGAACGAGAAAAAGTAAATCACAGTTGTTGGAACTACAGATGACGCCACGGAAAAGACTGCCTGCATAGCCTGAACAGAAAAAAAAAGTTCAAAGTGTTTTCACGCCAGTCCACAAAAATAGTACGTCTTGTTCTTTTTCCTGGTAAATATACTCAAGGATAGTAAACGCTTGTGTTTCTCTTAAAAAACAATGCTTTTTTTCTTCATTCTCCATCAAACGTTGAAATAAACTGAGTATATATATTTGCTTGCCAAGGAATTATGTTGGCCGTTGGTCCACTGAGGGAGATGGAGTGGCATTCGTTGGGTGAGTGGTGTCCTCTAGAAGCCAGGGCCAAACGGTGGCTCGGCCTGAGATGGCTGGAGGGGGTGTTCGTGTTTGGAAGGCAGTGCTGGACCTGTATGCTACCTGGCCCTCAGGCTCTGTAACACACTGTAAACGTCCGTCTCTTTGCTCAGGTCTTCAAACAGTGGCAGTAAATCCAGCAGCTCAGTGTCTGTCATGTCATCAAACCACGACTGCACTGGCACCTGCAGACACACAAACACCATTGCAAGACGACACTTTAAGCACAAGCTGAAAACACACTTTTTTAAGCTAGTAGCTTTAAACAATAAAAATACCATTTGCAGTTCTTTAGATTATGCAAAGAGAATTGTTTTTATTAAGAACCATTTGATCATTGAATAGGGTCTCTTAATAAGGCATAAGAAACCCCCTGAAAGGAATAGTTCACCCAAAAATAAAAATTCTTATGACTTTATGCAGAACACAAAGAACATATTTTACAGATTTGAAATGACATGAGGGTGAATGAATAATGACAGACTTTTCATTTTTAGCTGAACTACCCCTTAAAGAAACACGCAGAAAAGACTTTAACAGCTCGCAAGACTGAAGAGTGACATTTCTAAATGTGTTCAATAACTGATGCTTTTTTCATGTGTTTTCAAGCTACTTGTTCTGCCCCTTTGAAAATTTTTTATTTTTTCTGTCTCTTTATAAAAAAAAAAACTCTTTATAAAAGGCCTCTTTAGATCATTGATGTCCTCTATAACACTGAAAATCCTTCAGTGTTATGGAAGTACTAAGTACTAAGGATGCACAATTTGTGGGAAAAAAAAATTTAAATGGCAATTTTCTAAAAAAAAAAAAAATTATATATCAATATAACTGTAATAATACTGTAATTATTATTGTTGTTGGTTTCTTATTGTATTATATTTATTGTGACTAAAAACACAATAAGAAACATTAGAACTGTAATATTTCACTGTAAAATAAAGTGTTAAATACCATTAAATTTTTTTTATAATAATTTATTATTATTTTATTTTACAGTACAACTGTTAAATGTGTGACCCACATTCACAGCATTTACTGCAAACTGAGCTGTTCCACGACAATAGCTGGGTTTCCATCCAAACGTGAAGCAAATTTTTACCATGGAAATGATCTGTCGTTTTCATCCTATTGTTTACTATATTTATTTGTTTGGCCAGTGTCGTTGTGGGTTTTGGTTCTTTTGCTGTTGTAGACTGTAAAGACTTTTGAAATATCTGAAATAATTTGGCGAAGTGATACAGACATGTAATGCGGTCAAGAGCTGCTTAACAGCTCGCAAGACTGAAGAGTGAAATTTCTAAATGTGTTCAATAACTGATGCTTTTTTAATGTGTTTTCAAGCTACTTGTTCTGCCGCTTTGAAAAATTTATATTTTTTCTGTCTCTTTATAAAAAAAAAACTCTTTATAAAAGGCCTCTTTAGATCATTGATGTCCTCTATAACACTGAAAATCCTTCAGTGTTATGGAAGTACTAAGTACTAAGGATGCACAATTTGTGGGAAAAAAAAATTTAAATGGCAATTTTCTAAAAAAAAAAAAAATTATATATCAATATAACTGTAATAATACTGTAATTATTATTGTTGTTGGTTTCTTATTGTATTATATTTATTGTGACTAAAAACACAATAAGAAACATTAGAACTGTAATATTTCACTGTAAAATAAAGTGTTAAATACCATTAAATTTTTTTTATAATAATTTATTATTATTTTATTTTACAGTACAACTGTTAAATGTGTGACCCACATTCACAGCATTTACTGCAAACTGAGCTGTTCCACGACAATAGCTGGGTTTCCATCCAAACGTGAAGCAAATTTTTACCATGGAAATGATCTGTCGTTTTCATCCTATTGTTTACTATATTTATTTGTTTGGCCAGTGTCGTTGTGGGTTTTGGTTCTTTTGCTGTTGTAGACTGTAAAGACTTTTGAAATATCTGAAATAATTTGGCGAAGTGATACAGACATGTAATGCGGTCAAGAGCTGCCTGGAACTACGGTCGCCACACCTTAGAATGTTCGTCAGCCAATCAGATTCAAGCATTCAACTTCCCCGTAGTATAAATATGGATATGTATATACAAAGACTATAAAATACCCAAGACATGTCACTCGTATAGTTTTGAATGGGGAAAAATGCAACGCTCAATATGGCCGCTCAATCGCAGGAAGCCCCGCCTTCTGAATGAAAGAGCCAATCGCTAATCGGTAAAGTCAGCACATCACTGCAGCTGCCGTTAGCAGTAAGGATTAACGAGCTGCTGGATTCATGAATATTAATCAGGTTGCATGCAATCGCTCGAAATGATTTGCTGTAATCAAAACAGGGACAATAATAGGTGAGCGCCAGCCAATGAGATTGTCTTTTGCGCATTAGTTCCGCCTACTACCGGAGAACCCGGCAGTTCTTAAAAGCTGAAGAATTCCAAAGGAACTCCGTTATTTTGACAGGAAAATACAACAAAGTATTTCGTTTACATGTAGGGCGTCAATTCTGCATGGTGCGTAAGACTCTCTCGTACTCTCTCTCTTTGCGTGTGAGAAAAAAGCAAAGTGACGGCGAGTACAGTACAGACGGTGTACAGTTTACGGTGCGCTGCGCATCCACTGAGATTAATTTGAAAAAAAGCACTGATCGCTTGGAGTGTGAAACTCTGAAGCGCTCAGTCAGTGTGTTCGGCCAGTGAAAATATATCTGTGCTAAACTTATACTTAGCCTCCAACTCACACACTGGCGAGTAAAATCTGAGAATTTATTAGCCAGTGGCTAATATTAGACATCATTTAGTCGCCCAGAGTGAAGATTTAGTCACATATGTGAGTGATTTACTCGCAATGTAGAGGGTTGGCAACCAACTTATTTTGCCACAGGCTTTAATCAGCACCTTCAGATCATTAGTTTGAATACAGAATAACACCTTCTCATCTAACAGGAGGGATTCAAGCGTGTGTAGGAGGTGACAGCACTGAGGTACAGTAGGATCTGTCTGACTGCAGCTTCCTCCACAAGTCTCTCGCTACACACTATCTATAATTGATGAGAAGTTTTGACAAAGGAGTGTAAAGTGCCAGTGGCTGGGTTCTACCTCATTAGTTCCACTGGAAAAAATTATTCTGGGATAAAGACATAAATTCATGCACTAGGAGTCAACATGCAACCTATATTATATAGTAATAGTGTATTCTGAAGCTGTAATGTCAAATCAAATGCAGCTGAGGTCCACAGTGACACGTACAGCGTTTTCTGGATGAAAGATGTAGGAGGCAGGTGAGTTGTCCACTATGATGACTTTGTTGAGCTCTCGGCCCAGTCGACTGAGGTCTTTGACGTAGTTCCCCCGGTGGAACACACAGGATTCCCTGAAGAGCCGTGCCCTGAACACGCCCCGCCGGTCCAACAGGTCTGCTACAGGGTCAGCATACTGCAAGATCAAAATAGAGATGAAAGAATAAAACAATCACACTATGAGCAGACAGACTAACTTTCCCTGCCTGCATTTATGCATAGAAGACATCAGTATTTTATCTCTGTCCTGAATTGAAAACTAAAAAAAAAAGTAAAGAAAAGAATATCATATATGTATATTTAATAGATATTAAATACATTTTAAAATATTAAGCAATTTAAAAAATATATTTAATATATATTGCAAAAATATATATTACAAAAAATAAATTACAAAACTGCAGCAAAGCAGTTTGGCAGCAGAGTGTCAGTAGCACTCAAGCATGCTATTCTTGCAAAAAAATAAATATAATAATAATAATACATTTAAAATGAAGGAATTCAAAATACTTAAATTAATTGAAATATATAAAAAATAAAATAAATAAATAAATATTTTTCGTATCTGACTCAAATCCAGCCCCCAAAAATATGAAATAATAACTTGAATAAATATTTTTAAACTTAATCATAATACAAATAATTTAATATGAATTAAATGTGTTAATAAATAAATAAATATATAAATAACATACATTTTATGTATC